CGGACGGACGGACGGATGGATGGATGGATGGATGAATGGATGGACGGACGGGCGGATGGACGGATGGACGGATGGATATGGCTGTACCCTTTAGATCGGGCGGTGGCTAGCGTAATACTTGGAACTGAACGAGAGGTGGCTACATACAGGGGACGCACAGTCCACGCCTTAAGGAGCTTCGCTCCTAAAATTTCCACTGGAGCCTTGAAAAGAAATATCAATGTCGTTTGGCACACACTGCCATGTTCTCTAGAATTTATCACTATACTGCGCAACTTCTATAGAGATAACGTCGTCCTGTCCCTACGAAGGGGAAAAATAAAGGTATACTCTAAGCGCTCGTGTTAACATAGTTAACATTAGGTCAGTGTGACGTAAACTACGAGAAGTGAGAACATGCGTGCCATAAATTGGCTGGTTTTATTTCATGAGCGTTGAAGAAGAAGAGAAAGGAGACTGTATGAAATGGCACTGTTTGAGCACGACATCTCCTTAACATGAGTAACATGCCATGGTGGAATGTTTCATTTTTCAGTTGCAGTAATAAGTTCCAAGCGGAATTTCAAGATTATAAAGCTTTATGGTGACATAAATACAAAACGAGGTAATAACGCACATTATGGTGAAACATGCGAAAAACGGAAGGGCAAGAGGACAGGCAGGACCTAGCGCTTCATGTTTTTTTTTTTCGCTCTCATGGTGTTCGATCCGCTTGGTCATGATGTACTTACAATGCAAACAAAAGTTTTTCGAGGCAGGGGCTTTTGCTGCTCGTGACCTTCACAAACTCCCTCACTTCTAAAATTGCTACCTCATGTTAATTAAAGAAAAATGCCATGCTCAAACTACTTTTTAACACCACATCAGGAGGAACGTAGTAAAAGGAGGTCACAATCTAATTTTACTACGTGAGGAGCTTTCCATCCCGTGACTTTAAACCGCAGCTGCAGAGGTTATTACCACGTGGCCCCGAAGCTCTCTTTTTCGTTCGCTTTTGTACGGTAATAGCTAGGTGCCTCTCCTAGTTTCAGTAAAAGCATTGGAACACAACAAATAAATGTGTTTTTTTAACAACAGGTGCAAAGACTACACATGCCCACGAAATAAAAAATATATCACGTGAAGTGCCCGATTCCACGCCTATGAGGCATGGCCGTGACTCATAGTTAGACTTGCAATTTTTCACTAAACGTGGGACTGGCAAAACCAGAACGACCGAAAAAAAAAGGAGTGTTTGAAGGAAAAAGTTTGGTCTAAAAAACATCCTTGTTGATTTTCCCAAATTGTTGACTATTAGTTGTGTAGTTGGCCTGAAGACGGGCGAGTGTAAGTCGTTGGTGCTGTCAATGCTCACGCGTAGGCATATGTCCCAGTTACAGTGCGCGGCCGTGCAGCCATCGCAAGTTCCACTCGCACAGGCGTGCGGCCGTGCACAGCGGGCTGTTTCTCACGTGTTTCCTTCATTGCCGAGCGGCCTCGCACATACGAGCGCAAGCCTCCGTGGGTGGACACCGCGGATACCTCGCCGGAGAAACAGTTTAGAGCTTGCCTAAAAATCCAGTGCATTATGGTTCAGGCTCCGATTGTCAACATCAGCAGAGATTCGTGCGATATTCACTGTTAAACTATCGTACTTAATTCTGAACTATCATCGCTGTAATGCTTAATTGGTCAACTAGCATAGGCTCCGCCGATCTTAGACTTACAAGACACTATCCTTCCTCCGCATGGGACAAAAAAGGGATAAGAGCTGTGAAACTGCACTTGTTAAAAATGTGAAAGAGCAATAAAAAAATTGTTGTTTTCGTGGAGAAAAAGCAAACTAAATCAAGATGATGGACTGTGTGAAGTAAACGAAATATTGCGTGAGTATTTTTAAAACTGGATAGTTGGCTACTTTTCCCTCTTTAAACGAGAATAATAATCGATGCCCCTGCGAGCAAACGCAGGAACGTAATGCGCCATTGCGGAGAAAAATACTGTAAACCCTTACGAGCGAACGCGATGGTTTGCTGTTTTAAGAGGCATGAAAATTGTCGACAGACTGTAACCACTACAGTATACGTAATTACAACAGTCATCACAATTACTGGGGACAATAACTGATTTCATTTATTGCTAACGTTATTGCACATTTTTTTTCAAAACCCTAATGACAACCTGCTCAATGGTCTGCCCTTTGTTATCATGTATGGAAGTGCCATTTATCTTCACTGTCTGTTCATGCCACGTGATAACAAATGTAGTATCACGTGACTTGGTAGGTGGAGCTAGCGAAACAGCCTATGAGCGTAGAATGTAGAGAAGCTTTACATCACGCGGAAGTCATGATTATCATGTTTAGACACGTCATTTACATTTCTTGTCTATCCACGTCATGCGATACCAAATTTGGGATATGTGGAGGTACTAAAACAGCCGAGAGCGGGCTATCAGCATAGAATGTAGTCATGTTTACATGACACGCATACTATGATTATCTTGTTGGGACAAGTCATTACCTTCGTCATGCATTAACGTCACAAAATACCAAACTTTGTTTATGTGGAGCTAGCGAAACGGCCGTGAGCACGCTAAGAGCGTAGCATGTCGTAACAATTTACATGACATGCATAGCATGATTATCATGTCTGGACGGGTAACTTACCTTCTTCGTCCGATCACGTCACCTGATACCAAATTTGGTATATGAAGAGCTAACGAAACAGCCACCAGCACGCTATGAGCGTAACTTGTAATCGTGTTTCATATTACGCACATTGATTATCAAGTGTCATTTGCCTTCGTCGTCTATTCACCTCACGTGATACTAACTTTGGTATTTGTGGAGTAAGCGACACGGCTGTGAGCGCGCTATGAGCGTAGCATGTAGCCATGTGTTATGTTACAGGCATATCATGATTATCTTGTTTGCACCAGTCATATGCCTTCGTCATCTATTTTCATCACGTAACACGAAATGTCGTATATGCGAAGCTGGTGAAACTGCCGCGAGCGTATTATGAGCGTGGCATGTAGTGGTCATACATAACACGCATGTCATGATTGTCAAGCTTGAACCAGTCACATACCTTCATGATCCCTTCAATTCACGTAATACCCTATTTGATATATGTGAAGTTCGCGAAACGACCACGAGTGAATTATGAGCGTGGTATTGATTGATTGATATGTGGTGTTTAATGTCCCGAATCCACTATATGAATATGAGAGACGCCGTAGTAAAGGGTTCCAGAAATTTCGACCGCCTGTTGTTTTTTAACCTGCACCCAAATCTCAGTACACCGGCCTACATTTCCGCCTCCCCAAGAAATGCAGCCGCCGCAGCCGGGATTCGATCCCGCGACCTGTGGGTCAGCAGCCGAGTCCCTTAGCCACTAGACCACCGCGGCGGGGCGTGGTATGTAGTAATGTTCTCTCTAACCACGCATCTCATGATTATCATGTTTGCACCATTCATGCACCTTCGTTATCTATTCACGTCCCGCAATACCAAATTTGATGTATCTGAAGCTAGCGGGTGCACCATAAGCGTGTTGTGTAGTCATGACTATTCATAACATGAAAATATTGACATGCTTGTCCTGTTTTCTATCTGAGGGTCTGTCACTTATGTTTGACATGCAGTCTTGCCATACTATACCAGTTTCGCAACAATTCATGTGAACGAAAACATCATGAAAGCCACAAGATTATAAAATCCAAATCATGACAACAAAGACATACATGTCGTGATTTCCATGTGATGAGTAGTCAAATATGCTCGTGATACACTCATGTTATGACATACAAGTCTTGGTATTATTATCATTATCGAGACGGCCAGGAGAGCTAAATGTCGTAGGCGGCTAGACAGACAGACAGACAGACAGACAGACAGACAGACAGACAGACAGACAGACAGACAGACAGACAGACAGACAGACAGACAGACAGACAGACAGACAGACAGACAGACAGACAGACAGATAGACAGATACCCTCAATGTCACCAAATTTCGCTAAGAAAGACTTCCCATTTAAACCTACGAAATTTTGGAAGCGTGTGGTTGGTTCCGGCGTGGTGGGAGACAGTGTGACACCAACATCGCCGAGTGCGCGGATGCCCCTTCCCGTGCAACTCCTCTGCATCGGCGCTGTGCCGGCGCCGCGTTGCGTCGCTACGTGACAACATATGCTAGAGGAAACAACCTGGAGGAACTTGCTGCAGAGAACGCGTATCTTAAATGCCATAGAGGGCTGGAAGTTCATGAATCGCAGCAAAAAGTAGTGCACAGGTCACACAGAGTTTATGAACCTCGTTAACGAGATTTGACTCGTGCTGGTAAAGCCCTACATTACCTCAAACAGCAGTGTCATTGACGCTTTGGTAAACGTAGCAGTGGAAACTTTACGGATGAAAATAGCTTTACGAATGGGAAAGGTGCACGCACTTCGTCGGTTTTCCCAGTAGTAGAAACATTATGCGCTTTTTGTTGTTTTTTCAGCAGAACAACGTTCAGTTGCCCGTCGGCGTGCTTCTTTTCATGTGTGTGCATGTCAGCAAGCCGAAGTTTTTGCTGAGCTATATTTGTCAAAATTTCCGATATTTATTCATTCTAATATCCGTCCGTAGCTGATTTTAGAGCTTCATATTGTGTGTGCCACGTATTTTCTGCGAAAAATGTGAACTTTGACGGCGTCGAGGGAGGCTTAGAGAATAAATTTACCATGAATTAGGCACTGCCTGTCATTTGTGGACTGAATGTACAAATTTCGCCCCTCTTGCTTGTGATGAAAGGGAAGGCTGGTGAAGGTCTTTCAAGCTATGCGCTCCATGCAGCCAAACAGGATATTCATGACACTTATTGCACGCAGTGAAGGGAAGCGGAAAAAATTGAAAGAAGTCGGTGTTGCTTCTTTCAGTTCAAGCTGTCACAAGTGGCGGCCCTTGTGGAATAATGTCAATGACTAGGGGGGGTATGGCTCGTTAATACTCTGGTTTTGAGCAGCTGTAGGCAAATGACGTGCTCGACGTACTTTTCAACCTGTGCACTGCCGGTCGGCGTACTTACCACGTTTCAAGGGTACGCGTGCAGGAAGTTGAATTGTACAGAGCAAGCTCTACAGGCGCCTACCTCGTTGTATCAAGGCATCCACACCATACAGGGTTTTTTCACAAGATCACGCACATATAAAGGTATAGTACTGATTATATTTGACTCAGCTTTCCTAGTGTTTAAAAGGTTTCCCCCGTGCAGTGTAACGCTTACTGCCAACCTATAGTTCAAGAGATTCTACACGGGGTGCCCCAGATATATTAAGCTATAGTTATTGTTATGTCGACGCACTTAGTAATGACTTCAACAAAACATGTTGTTTACTCTTCTATTCTGTAAGTCGCACAATTATTTTGTTTTCGGCATAATTGCGTGATTCCACATGTTTTATTCACAAACTTTGAAGACAATGAAGCCAGCCGAATGCTGTATGAAAAAAATGGCCATTGTTTCGGAAAACGTCTCATTTGACCGTTTCTATTTTATTGGTTGTAAATGTTAGCGTTTTTTTCTGCTTAAAACACGTGCCACAAAAATATTAAAAATGACAAAAAGTAACAGTTGTGCCGCAAAGGCAAAGCAATGAAAGCGATAGCAACAAATTAGAAGGGCCCACAAAGAATGGGAAGCAAATTTGAACATGCCCCACGTTTTTTTTTCACAAATAACGCACGAAACGCACACACTGGTACTAATGAACGCGAATAAGCATCTCAGTTGTGTCTGAAAAATGCCCCCTTTTCGCAAACGAAGACTGTGCTACGAGTGCAGTGACCATTGCACACTTGGTAACTACAACGAAATTGTTCCGGTGAAAGTCCGAGGTGTCCACTTGTTCCCACCGCGAGATAACCAAACGCACGGGAGAGCGTCCCCTCTCTGCGGGGCAAAGTATTTTTGTGAGAGGTGAGAACGTGCGCTGCCACGTCGTTGCAATCTCGCGACGCGCGCTTCTTGCGCCATCTCACTGGTAGTGCTAAAAACACGGTAGTAGTTCCGCCGAGTCGCCCTTCACCAGCAGGAGGTGGTAGATATGAATTTCTCACCGTTTGAACGCTGAAGGAGGTGCTCCTTTGTAGTTCAATGGCTAACGCCTCGCACTGACTATTCATAGGTCAGAGATTTCATTCCACACGACGGAGTATTCTTCTGGATTGTTTTTATTTGTTGCGTTTGCATATGTACAAGTACGTAAACATTACGGTGAATGACTGTGACGCCGATGCCAGCGCCAAACTCCAGCCGAGTGTATCCTTATCGTTGCGATAATAAAAAAATCACGTGATGTGCCCGCCTGCGCCCCTGTGAGCACCTAAAGTTTCTGCAGATTTTTGCGAAGTGCCGTCTATCTTTTAACGATCTGCCGCGCCCCGCAACCCCCTCTCCCGCCTCTTACCTCACAGGCCACCACTCGACAAAGATCACGAACATAGTGTGTGTCTTCGGCTGGACATGACATTCTTGACAGAAAAGTGGCGTGAGCCGAGTAATAGGACACTGGCGCCTGCACACTCACTGTTTGGGAAAAGAGATGGTTTGGACACTTGAGAAAAGAAGGTTTGGACACTTTGGAGAGGATAAGGAGGAGAGTGTCACTACTTTTTCAATACTATAAGGTACTTTGGGGCCACTTTGATTGCAGCGCTCCCTAGTGTTCTGCGTAGAAACTATATGCTTGGCACGCGACAGTTATCAACTGTACTGCCGCTGGGAAAACGTGCTTCATCACACAGCCAACACCACGCTGTTCTATCGAGGCCGCAAACCCTGTCATCTGCTGTGATCGTTTGCACAAGCGGCGCAAGCACTTATAGAAAAGTCGGCACGCCGCATCAGCGAAATTTGGCGACAGCCGTTGCGACGAGTCGCGCGGGACTCACGCTTCAACTTTCAGTTTGCACCGTTCCAGCACTTCGGAGATCAAGTAAACTCGGCAAAGTGTGATAAATTACTGTGTGACTCACTTACAAACTACAGTGTTCGTGTGCGAAGGCCTATCTACAATTTCTGCGATGGCCTATCTACAAGCGTCTCAGAAGCATCAGTTAATTATTATTATCCTTTAGCGTCAGCCCACCTTCAGCTTAGATAAAAAACAGTAAATGTCACATGGTGCCCTTTCTCGTGTGAAGTGTGGAGAAGGCATCGAATTTGCCTAAAAGCGCAAGCACTGTCCATAAATTCAGGGATGAATTAGGAATCAATGTCTTCTAATGCTGTTTACGAATAAATTGTACGGTTCTGGTATATTTAAAGTGTGCTTTCGGACTAAGTGCAATCGCCGTTGCGGTGGTCTAGTGGCTAAGATACTTGGCTGCTGACCCACAGGTCGCAAGATCGACTCCCAGCTGTGGCGGCGGCATTTTCAATGGAGGCGAAAACGCTTTAGGCTTGTGTGCTCAGTTTTGTGTGCACATTGAAGAATCCCAGGTGGCAGAAATTTTCAGAGCACTCCACTATGGCATCTCTCATAGTCATACGGTGGTTTTTGGACCGCCCATGTCATTCAATCAGAAAAAAAAATTGACAGATGTCTCATACAGCGGGAATCAATGATATGTGAAGCACGAATGAGCAATGTTGATATGTCACTTTAAAATCAGCACAACGTTAGGAGGTGGAGGTAATTGATATCGTATATGATTTCCTTGCCATGATTATTTTGTGGAGATGTATCGTTTACCTTCGTCATCTGTTCACATCACGTGATAACCCAACTGAGAATATGTGGAGCTAGCGAAACGGCCGCGAGAACGCTATAAGCGTGGTATGTTGTCGTTTTCTCACATGGCACGCGTGTCAGGATTATCATGTTTGCACCAGTCATATATTTTATCATACATTGAACTCACATGACACCAAATTCGGTGTATGTTGAGGAAGCAAAACGGCCGCCAGCGCATCATGAATGGCCCAATATACTCCAATGTAGCGTTGACGTGCGCGCACAGCGACGCTACGTTAGCAAAACGTGAGCACTCTTTAGTTTGACGCCAGGCGCGACCAGCGTCCGTCAGCGTGGCCCGACGACAACAGGCGAGAAATTCGACATCATGCATTTCGCGCCGATGCGTTACTCAGAAAACACTGCGTCTCTCTCTTTTCGTGATGGAGGGGCGCTGGACGCGCTGAAACGTGCATGCGTCAAAGCAACGCAGCGCGGCGCACGCCTGCGAGTATATATGGCAGGACCGGCGCCTAACGTGCCAACGCCGGCATGACATGACGAAATGAACGCCGACGAGCACGCGCACCGTGTTACGTCAAAATGTACTGGCGCAATTACTAAGGAATGTAGTCGTGTTCTCACATGACACAAATCTATATGATTATCATGTTTACACCAGTCACATACCTTCATCAAACATTGGCTTCAGGTATTATAAAATTTTGCATAAGTGAAGCTAGCAAAACGGCCGTGAGTGCATCATAAGAGTGGCATGTAGTCATGTTACATGACACGGAAGTCATGATTATCATGTTTAGATGTGTCATATACCTATGCCGCCCGTTCTCGTCGCGTAATACTGTGTTTGGTACATGTGAAGCTAGCGAAGCGGCCACGTGCTCATCTTGAGCGTAGCATGTGCTCATTATGTTACATGACACGCATCTCATGTTTATCATGTTTGCACCAGTATCATACGTTCGTCATCCATTCACGTCCCGTAATACCAAATTTAGTATAAGTGAAGCTAGCGAAACAGCCGACAGCGCATCATGGGCGTCGCATGTAGTCATGTTGTTACATGACACGCATATCATGATTATCATGTTTGCGCCTGTCACATACCATCATCATCTATTCAGGTACTGTAATACCAAATTTCGTATATGCTACGCTAGTGAAGCAGCCACGAGCGCATCATGAGCGTGGCATGTAGTCATGTTGTTACATGACACGCATGTCATCATTTTCATGTTAGGGTCTGTCGCTTGTGTTCGCTATGCAGTCATGCCATACCATAAAAGTTTTGCAACATGCCATGTGAACGAAACCACAGCGAGAGCTGCAGGACCTTGAAATGTAAATCATGACATTCATGACTTCGACGTTACAATTTTCATGTTATTACAAGTCAAATATGATCTCCATGCAGTCATGTTGTGCCATACCAAGTTTGGTATCGATAAAGTTATCGAAACGACCGGAAGAGCTAAAAGTCGTAGGCGGCTAGATAGATAGATAGATAGATAGATAGATAGATAGATAGATAGATAGATAGATAGATAGATAGATAGATAGATAGATAGATAGATAGATAGATAGATAGATAGATAGATAGATAGATAGATAGATAGATAGATAGACAGATTGAAAGTCGCCGAAGTTCACTAAGAAATGCTTCGCATTTAAAAGTGCCATTTCATAAAACAAAATACATTGACTCGACCACTGCGCGCCATTCGCAGCTTATGCATCTATATACTTCTTTTGGCACTGCAACTGCAGGTTGGAATAAAGCCTAGAGGGAAAAAGAAAATGCGGCCAGAAAATAAATATGCACAGCAGAAACGTTCACTCATGACTGAAAATTTGGCTTCATTCAATAAATTTTGATGTTTTTAGGCACGTAAACAGAGCACGTTAAGCAGCACACGCGCGCACACTCCGTCATAGTCCAGTCTTGTCTTTCGTGGTTCCTGACGTTGCTGTTACAGCCGCTTGTTCAAGTCCGTGTTGTGTAGGAATTTCAACAGTGCTTTTGTCATCTTCTGGTGCAATGTCTTTTCTCAGGCACTTGCAAGAATAGTGTCCACAGACATTTGCCTGTTGTCGATGCGCGCAAGAACGGACGCCAACGACTGTCTCTGGATGTCATACAACGGACAGTCGCAGAGGATGTGGTGTAGCGTCTCCTCGCAGCGACAGGCATCACAGAGAGCGTTGTCGGCCATTCCTATGAAAAATGAATAAGATTTTGTAAACGCCACCCCTAGCCTCAAGCGATGAAGGAGTATGGCTTCTCTTCCGGCGAGCCCAGTGAGCATACGGAGAGCCATCAAAGAGGGCAGGTGGAGTTGACGAATCATCTGGGTGGTCAGGTTGCTTGGTGGGCGCCATAGTAAAAACATGATTTCACGCGCAAGTCATCGAAGATTGCTGGAAGCAGCTGTCCGTGAAAGTGGTATGGCTTCT